TCTTCTTCTTCTTCTTCTTCTTCTTTTCCCTGGCGATCGATCGATTCACCGTTTAACGACCAATTTCCGTATTGACGCGTCGATCAGTTGGAAATCATTATGCTCGTAGGAGATGATGCCGATCGATGGAATTTTAGGTCGCGAGAAGCAACGTTCACAACTGAAGCGGAATACACGCTTGTTTATCCTGTTTATTTACGGTGTTTACGCATTGAGCTGTCTGGTTTGTCGGCTTCGTTCCTTCGATCGATCGATGAACCGACGTGGAGGAACGTCGCCAAGGTGATTTTAACTTTAATGTATAATTGCGGACGGGGAGAATCAAGTCTGGAAATTCGAGATTCAATATTTCATCGAGATTCGAGTTCGAATTCAAAAGGAAAAAGATCACGAGTGAAAATGACTGAAGAACTTTCTAAAATTTAAGAAACGTGCGTGAGATGAAAACTAATAACTAATAAGTATGAAATATGTTAATGACAACGTCGTTGAAATTCAACAAACAGAAACATTTCTTCACAGAGATCGAAAATGCGTTGCAAATCCTGCGACGTCTTCAGAATTCTCGATTCTTCCAGTTCCAAGAAAATACCAAAATTACAAATCCCAACTCGAATTCCTCGAAAATTCCGGTTTTCACGCATTCGCGTTCGCGTCTCGAGCTTCTAAATCAGTCGATACACCGTTATACTCGCTGAACATCTTTCGCTCTGAGCGACAAACGTGTCGCGAGACACGTTCTCACCGCGGCTGAATGATATCATTGCCCACGCGCGTTCGATCGGAAATCGGACTTTTTTTTCACGTTCGGGACGAATCACGCTAACGAATCCGACCGCAAGAAGCTAATTCGATAACGATGCGTGAACAAATTGCAAACGGGTAACGGTGTAATGCGCGCGTCGAGACATTTAAAAAGAAAGAAAAAAAAAAAAAAAAAAAGAAATACACTCGCTTGCTGCTCGCCGCGACCGGTTCTCTCAATCGAATCGACGAAACGGCGAAAAATTCCCTTCCGCTTGTTAAAACGAATCGCTACGCTTATGACTCTTGTTCGTCATTGCATTTACAGTGGCAGTGGTTCATGAAAACGTTCAAACATCTAGGAACGTTCGTCTGTTTATCGAAAATGTTTGTTCTTAATCGTTTTGCTCTCTGCAACTCTTGCCACGATTAAAAATTTATTAAACATTCAATATCAATGTTCAAATTTGATGTGAGTTTACTCTTAATTTCGTTATACTCTGTTGCGATTAAACATTTTTCGTAAATTAAAAAAAAAAAAAAATCAACGAGATCTGCTCTTTATCGAAAAATTCTAAAGATCGACAGTGTCCTGAAAAATCTGAATGTCCTTGAAAAATTAGATTCCTACAAGAGCAAACACTTGACACAAAAGAAAGAGAGAGAGAATAACAAAAGCTACCATATCTTGAGAC